AAAACCCTGCCTCTGCCTCACCAAAACGAAATGTCACGGACCGCCACTGGATAAAAGTGGGAGTAGAAAAAATTCTTTTGTAATAAAAATTTCAAAACTTTTAAGAAAATAATTATATTATAACAGATGTTTTTTTATGACAAAAAAAGTTAAAAATTACATTTTTTGTCAAAAGTTGTTTTCTTTCATATTTTTTTAGTTAAATTTAGTAAATGGAGTAGTATGTTTTAATGTAACAATAAAGTAATAAAATAAATGTGAAGGCATAAAGCCGTTGCTTTCAAAGTTGGCCAATAAACAAATTGTTCTTCCAACTGCGTGGAACTTTATGGAGCAGCAACGATAAATAAAATAAATTTTAACCCTGACCTGGCAGCCTGTCCGACCGCGAGACCCACAATCAGCCCATTAGTGCTACCTGCTATTTTCCGCTTTTGTTAATTTGTATAATTATTTGATTTGTTAATTTAATATAGTTTTCAAATATGAAAATATAAGTTTTACCATAAAATTCAATATTTTATAGTATATTATATATCAAGTTTGATAAACGACACGAATTTTATTTAGGCACGAGCGAGCTTGCGAGCGAGTGCTTAATTAAAGAAGTGCCTAGAAAAGTTAATAAACGAGTTGCATACTATATTTTTTTTACGACCAAGACTTATTATTATTTAAAAATGATTTTCATTGAAAAATTCTAGTGAGCGACATCTATGAAACAATATAATTACCAACTTGAAATTGTGTATTATGTCAAATGTCAAATTTTTGTGTAAATCAAAATGTATTCCTTAAAAATAAATCGTTTCATCGGATCTAGGAAGAGTTTTTTACAGTGAAAATAAAGAATGGTTATTTATGGTACTAGTGTGTTATGTTGAAAATAAATCACGCGAGAAAGATTTATATCACGAGACCGTCAGGCCGAGTGGTATAAATTTACACATGAGTGGCATATAATGTTTTATCCAATAAGTGGAAGAAATCGTTTTTTATAAGATAATAATTAATAAGCTTACTGATCAAATCAAAGCTACTTGCCTCTCAGTACCCCATAAATGTCAGATTGACTTGACAGTGACTTTTTACATTTTGGTCAAAGTAGGTGTTTGTTTGGTTGCCACGGGTTAGCAAATGTTTAAATAAATTTTTACACTTTTCAGTTTTCCTGCAGAAAAGGAAAGCTTTTTTTAAGAAAAAAATGGAGGAAACCGATGAAAATTATGTTCCTAAGGATATCCTTAAGGAAGCGGAAGAAGCAGCGATGCAGATTTTGCCAGAAAAGTCCCGAGATGCTTACGACAAGGAGTTCAAAATGTTTGAGTCTTGGATGAATTTACGGAGGATAAAAGGTATCGATAAAAATGTTTTATTGGCTTATTTTTTACATTTGCAAAAAAAATTTGCCCCATCGTCGCTATGGACCAAATACTCGATGCTTTGATCGACTATTCACCTATAAAAAAATCGACATTTCAAAATATGGCAAACTAACGAGCTTTTTGAAAGGCAAATCACAGGGATTCAAACCAAAGAAGTCCAAGACATTAGAACGACCTGAAATAGAGAAGTTTTTGACCGAAGCTTCCGACGACGAGTACCTGTTGATGAAAGTGGCTTTGATAATGGGGATTAGATGCGATGAATTGGCCAATTTAAAAATAGAAAATATTCAAGACAAAGGGAAATATTTTCACGTAGTTTTGCCAGACACTAAAACCAAGAAATTGAGAAGTTTCACCATACTTGAAGATCAATTTGTGTAAAAAATACATGTCTGAGCAAAGAATACTAGTTCTAGTCGCATTTTTGTTTATTTACATAAATGGGAGGTGTACCAGCCAGTGTGTGTTAATAAATACGTTGTCGAAGATACCTTCAAGAATTGCAATGTTTTTGAAATTGGAGGAACCAGCGCTCTACACCGGTCACTGCCTTTTGGCCAATGCAGGGGCTGACATGACTACTTTGAAGCGTCACGGAGGATGGAAGTCCTCGACGATAGCAGAAGGATATCTAGAAGAATCGGTGCATAACAAAATACAAATTGCAGAAAAAATACAAGGTTCTAATGCGTCTTCCAGCACTATCAGCAGCTGTACCGATATGGGAGCGTCTGGTTCCAATGAACTAACGAATTTCAAATTCGAATAAACCATTAGCGTTTTCCTTTAATTTCAATATCAATGTGAATTCTGCTTGTAATAGTAATAAATAAATAGAATACTACTTTAAATATGAACGTAAGTTATAATCCACTAACCCACTAGTGAGTTATGGATTATAACACACAAGTGTGTTATTTGATAGTTTACTTGTCTAAAATGGCATTAATAATAACAGTCATAACTGTCATGTGTTGGATAAAATGTTTTATTGGCACTTCACAGTGGAGTCTTCACCCGAAATTAAGTTAATGTATTTTGCCGGCGAAATTAAAAGGTAAGTACAATGTTCATATAAACTTTTCAAATATTGGCGTTGAGAAACTATTTAATACTTTTGTATTTTTGTGTTGAGATAATAAAATAATTTTTACATTTAATATTATTTTAATTAATTAACTTAAAACTAACTAAGATTTATTTAAAAAACTTAAGATCTCATGCAAAAGCATAAGACCTGGCAACATTGCCCAGGAATGTCACATTCGCGTCGCTGTTCACGATTCCCAGTACCTACTAGTAGGTTGGGAGTGGTTAGTTATCCAAATACAACCCCAATATTACAAAAAAGCATGTTTTTGATAGTAACATTTAAAAATTTCTGTTAAAAATAAGAATTTAGGTGAAATAGGTAAAATTACACTGTTTAGGTAGTAAAATGTAAAAATTAGGTCCATTTCTTTTGAAAATGAAAATGTAGGTAAAATAGGTAAAATAAAATCAGGCTCAAATGTAATAACACTAAAATCCCATCTCTAATAATAATTTGACCCTTGAACTACGTACAGAAATTAAGTCTTTCTATACATTGGTGGTAATCCTCTAATAATGCGTCTAGTAAACAAAGACACTATAGCAATAGAGATGCAACATGACACGTAAGAAGTAGGGATTTTGTAATCAGAGTGGTAGGGCAGTCCGCCGGGTACGTCGTTTGAGTGATACTGCAAATCTACAAGGTTATCGTCACTCGACTCGAGTGTTGGGATGAAACAGTAAAATATTGGCAGACAATTAACCGTTTTGATTTAATTTATTTTTTTTTTATTGCACGCCCACGATGGAGGGGAGTAACGTTAACAAATATGTTTAAGAACGATTGTTTATCTCACTTGTTCGTACGTTTCAAATTGAATGAGTTTTTGTTTTTAAACATAGTAAAGAAGCATTACCACCGCAGTATAGTTAACAAATCGGTTTAAGGATGATTGTTTTTCTCACTTGTTCAAATTGCATGAGTTTTTTTTTTAAACGTAGTAAAGAAGCATTACCACCACAGTAGGGTGGGCCGAAAATCCGCTTTTTTAGAATTTCGTTTAGTAATAGCAAAAATTTTGTTCATTATGTTGTAAAAATATTTTGTGTAAAAGATTAAAATTTTCGATCAACATCCTAGGCTCGCCCAACGCAATTAAAGATCAAAATGTTCAAAAAAATTTTGATACTAAAATCGGGTTTATTTCTAAAACTATCCATCTGAAGTAATTTAGTGTAAGGACCTTTTTTGTAGAGCATAAAATTTCCGATCGAATTAAGTTAGGAAAATTTTTTTTTGAACATTTTGATCTTTAATTGCGCTGGGCGAGCCTAGGATGAGGATCGAAAATTTTAATCTTTTACACAATTTTTTTTTACAACATAATGAACAAATTTCTGAAACTATCCATCTGAAATAATTTTGTGTAGAGCATAAAATTTCCGATCGAAATAAATTAAGAAAAATTTTTTTTGAACATTTTGATCTTTAATTGCGTTGGGCGAGCCTAGGATGTTGATCGAAAATTTTAATCTTTTACACAAAATTTTTTTACAACATAATGAACAAAATTTTTGCTATTACTAAACGAAATTCTAAAAAAGCGGATTTTCGGCCCACCCTACCACCACAGTATAGTGTTACCACCTTTTTACGGTGATGACAGTTAGGGTCCAGCAAACTAGGCCCTGGTCAGCTAGCTCAAGCGAATGGGGATATTTGAATTTAAAAATAAAATTTATAATATGTGCGCCAAATTTTGCAGAAAAGATTCTCCAGGCCAAACTATTAAACTTCTACTATTCCCAATAACAGGTTTGGAATAAGGCAGCAATAAAATAAAGTAAGATAAGTGATTATAGTAAATAATTATTAAGTGGACCTACATTAATAACCAAATGTAATAAGTTATAATTTTGTATAAATTTGATCAAATTTGTTTGCCGCAAATAAACTGAAATTTCTCTATATATCAACTTAATCAGTATTTTCAAATCTTAACACTACGATACATAGCAAAAAACCCAAATACACCTCAATTACAAAAAAGGAGGATCCTTTTAATAATATATCGTATATCGTAATGCCAAGTTTTGTTTTACCTCATCCGCAAAGAAGTTTTACTTTAAAAACAAAAATATTTTCCAAAATTTTAAATTGTAATTTATCTTTTAAATTTTAGAATGTCCTACTCTGTATATATAGAACATAATTTCGTTGGTTGCTATTACATTAAGTTTTTTAGCTAATTATTCATAATAACATTTGGAAGAAAAAAATTGATGTTTAATTGGTAATAACACCCGAAATATTTGTATTTGTATTTGTAATATTTCACATTGTAATTAATTATACTATTTACGGCAACATTTTATTTTGTGCTGTTGGTTTTAACATTCATAATTTAAAATACATCATTATGTTCTTTATTTAATTAGGGTAAAAATAGTTTCTTTAGAATGGTTATTTTTTTTAGTGGTACTTGAAACACTTTTTAATAATAATTATTTTACTTGCTATTAAGAAATTACAACGTTCAAAATAATTCCTTAAATAATGTAAATATTCTTTCTTACCTAGACCCGGGTCCTCTAAAACTATGTCCCCTTCTAAACCCATAATCGTCCTTGGCACAATTGTTCGGATCGTACCCACTGTAATAAATATTACTTGGTCCGCGATGAATGTTGATAATTTCGGGCGACTGCATTTTCCTTAACGAAGCAGTCTTCTCCATCTCTCTAATTATGCGATTTTGCTCGCAAACGTACGCATGTTTCTGTCTTTGATACTTTGCACTTTTCCTATCTAAACTAAACTGACTGAGATTCGTGGTTTCCAGTTTTGGTAGCGAAGCGTATGAACGATTTAAAGTCGCGGTGTCACTGTTACACTGTTCGACGAAACGAGTTTTCGGCTGGTAAAGCATTTCTTTGCTCACGCAGTTGCACATCATCTCGATTTCCTGACCATGGTAGCTGTTCGCGTTGCTCTCCTGGTGCATGTCCTGCAGCACTTCAGGAGTCTTGAAAGTCTCGTAATTGCTTTTAAGAAGCAACTCGGACGAGTTGTTTACGTTGTGGCAGTGAGGGTTCTGGTTACCATCGTCTGGCAGTATGGTTACGATGTTCTGATAGTCGCGGTATTCGTTGTCATTTAGACTGTTGACTTGAGTGAATTTTGAGCTTTTCATCTTATGGGTGGACATTGCTAAAAAAAAGAAAATTGGTTTTATTATTTAAGTGTCAAACAATAATTAATTAGAATTAGAATTATTAGAAAAATATAGAAAATGTGTCATGAGATCTGAGATACCCAGTGAGTTATTTATTTAAGAAGTGGCCTTTACCAATTTTAAAAATCCTTACTTCAACAAAAGATATAACTTTTATTTATATATATAAAATTTAGTAGTTAATTTGAATATATTAAAAAGTTTCATTCATTTCATTTGATAAGTTAAAATTTTGTACACATCAAGTACATATGGGTCATTCTTACAATAGGGGAAATTTTATGTCCCTGACTTGCCATGCTCAGTCAAGTGCATGTTCACCATTTTTTATTTTATATTTATTTAAGGGTTTATTGACCCTATTCATAACCTATTAACTTAATAATAAAATAAAACCAATTCGATACATTTTCCCTTTAATTACATAAATTGTCATTAGCGTGGATGTCCCTGGAAATCCTTTCACCAGAATATTTTTTTTTTGCAAATTAAGAAACTGTCCATAAATACTCTAGCAATAGTATATTATAGACAACACTTTTTAAGATATATTAAGCGGGATTGAGACACAAAAATAAAATTTAATTGAAAAAAAAACATTTCTTAAATGTGTCCCTGAGTTTGACATCATTAGCGTGGATTATAATGATACGTATTTAAAATTCCCGCCTACTTTAAATTTACCAGTTAGCGACCGTTATTATAAACATTTTGGTATACGCTATTTACTTGATTTGGCGCCAAACGCGAACAGTTGCACAGTGAACTATGAAGTGTGAAGTTGTTATGTGTTTCATGGGCGTATGTTTATAGTGCATCATTGGAGTGCTAGTGACAATTTTGTTTATCTAAAAGCTATTAGAAAAATATTGATAATAATTAATGAGCAGTGACAACTACAAAAGGTATGCATAATTTAAATTAAATTCATTAATCCATTTGCTGTCCAAAGAACCTTAACCTTAATTTAGTCATTGGCGTGGATATTTACTTGCATCATTGGCGTGGACTTTTTTGTCCACGCTAATGACGGACTATCCACGCCAATGATATTTTGTACGAATAATGATAATAAGATATTTTTATCTAAAATCGGCAGTAAAGTAGTGAACAATCGACAGTAAAGTAAAGAAATCGGCAGTAAAGTAGAACTTTAGTACCGATTTAATACTAGCATTGTATGCAAACCATTACTGCTCCTTAGCAGCAACTAAATAATATTTAAAAAAAAAGCACCTTCGCGGAGATCAATAATTATTATAATAATAATTATTATAATTATTATTATATCCAATTATTGGAACCTTTCATAAAATGTTAAAAAAAATAATAATAAGTTAATTTTATTAATTAAATTAAAAAATCAATTTTAAAGCACTACATAAACAGTTTTCAGAGAGGTGGCCTAAATAAAATTACTACTATTCATTTTCTATCAGATAGCCCCAGCACTCAGTGCAGAAATAAAAAGCTGTTCTATTTTTTGCAAAATTGTTTTCCAAAGTTATTCCCTTATATAACTAAAATCTCCTGGAATTATTCTGAATCAGGTCATGGAAAAGGGGCACCTGATGGTATTGGACCTGTAGTCAAAAGGTGTGCAGACCAACTAGTAGCACATAACCATGATATTAATACATTTGATGTATTTACAAACGCTATAGAGACAAATATTAACAACTTACTAATAAGAACTGTTGATGAGGCTGAAATTGACAAATTTGATACATATCTACCTACTAAAATAAAAGTCTGTAAAGGTACCATGCTAACACACCAAGTGACTTGGCGAAAAGACGACAAAAGGTTGTTTTTGAATACTTTGAGCTGTTTTGATTGTGAGCTTCGACAGTGTAGTCATTACAACATTTTTAATGTGCCTTCAACGTCTATTAACATTGATGTATTGCCTGAACCTGAATTTTCAGCTGTGACTACCATTTGACTTCCTGGAGATAATAGTGTTACCAACATCTCTTTACGTATGGGATCATACATAAAAATGAATGGGTAGCTGCAATTTACAAAGAGACATGGTATCCAGGTATGTCTCCTTTTTTTTTATTAATAACGAGCACTGAGGTAAATTATTTTTAGGAATAAGTGAGGATATAAATGGAGAAAACATAACTATTACCTTTATGGCAAGAAGTGGTAAATATTTTTATTGGCCTGAATCAACTGATCGACAAATCTTTACAGAAGCGGGTATATTATGTAAACTTGATTTGCCACCACAGCCAATTTCAAATAGATTTTTTAAAGTACCAAATTGATAAAATATGCTAAATTCATTAATTTTTTTTGTAACCAATGTTTACTTATAAATAAATATTAAAAATATATTTTGTATCATTATTCAATGAAAACTGTCATTAGCGTGCCTCTTAGTCATTGGCGTGGATATGGATTTTTGAAAAAGCCCCAAAATAAAAAATTGAGCTCAACAGACTTATAATTTCATAAACTTTATTCATTTCTTATAAAACAGTAGTTTTTCAATATTTTCTGTAACTGTTTTTTTTTTAAATTTCTTATACTCAAGATTGCTCCTATTATAAGAATATCCCATATATAAATGTTTTTGATATGTTTTTGTAAAAAATTTATTCACTATTTTAAGTTAAATTTTGACTTTTTTCAAGTGACGTCATGCGCGGCAAGAACCAAAACTCGTCCACGGGAGCATCCGGCCCTGACTCATGGCCAAAGTTTTGAGGTTAGATAATAGAACAAGTTTGCTGAAAAGTCGCTAGAGGTCACTGTATGATATATTTATAAGCAATCTATAATAAGAAACATTGTAAGTACGAATATATTTCACAAAAACTAAAAATAATATAAAAATATATAAGAAAGCACCAAAAAAAAATTAACATATTATTATTATAAAAATTAAAAGAATAAGCGCAGAAATATTTGCTATGTTTGAAAGATCGTTTTCCTATAAAATTTTTAAGTTATATAACATGGTTCCAGCAAATAATAAAACTAAGTCAATTACTCTATTTAGGGCAGAAATTTGTTCACTCATTTTTGTCGATTATTTTAAATTGTGATATTTAAGTACTACATTTATAATATCCTTATATATTGTATTATTTTTCTTAATTAGATTTTTTATGTACTTGTAAAGATATTCAATTAAAAGAATAAGCGCATAAATATTTGCTATGTTTGAAAGATCGTTTTCCTATAAAATTTTTAAGTTATATAACATGGTTCCCGCAAATAATAAAACCAAGCCAATTACTCTATTTAGATAAGATCCTTATTGTTTTATTTTTCTTAATTAGATTTTTTATGTACTTGTAAAGATATTCTTTTCTTTCTAAGATATTTTTAATATATATGTATAATATAAATTTATTTTTAATATATATGGATAATATACATTGTATATAATACAGAGGTATAAAATTCCAAACATAAAATTATTTTTTTCCATGTTAATTAAATATACATAATATGTATATTTAATTAACATGGAAAAAAATAATTTTATGTTTGGAATTTTATACCTCTGTATCAAAGTAACTTATGGTAATGATAATTGCAGTTTCTGATTTCTTCTAGAGTTATTCGAGGACAAAGTTTGATTAACATCAAATTTTCTGTTTTTTTTTTAATTTTATGGTACAATTAGCAGACGGGAGGTGAAAGGGGGCAAATCAATGCAGCATTTTTTTTCGGTTTCTAAATTATTTGAAAATTGACTCACAAGTTCACGCTTTTAATCGAAAATAATTATTCTGAGCCTGTAGAGCGAGACCATTTTAAAACTCGAAGCACTACGTCATTATTCAGCTCATAAAAATGAATTTAATTTATTTTATGATCGAAAAGTTGCTGGTAGCTTTTGATTTTCGTTCCGCAAACATTTCGTCGAAACGTTTTTGTCTGTAACGCCTTGTGAAATTTGACAAGTTTTTTGCTCGTTCATTATGCCCGAAAAGTAATAGACTTCCATTGTGGGTTATTGGAGTAGGAAAGTTGTAATTGTCATAAGTTTCCGGTCGCAGTAAAATTCATTTTAAAAAATATATGCTTTTGGTGTTTCCTAAAATATGTGGTTCATGAAAACATTCCTTGTAAAATATAAAAAATTATTATTATATTGCTGGTTAAAGTTTTAAAACTAAGTAACAATAAGATATTTAATATAATAATACATAGTAAATGTTGTTTTACCTATTTTTTATTTTATTATACAATCAATATCAATATGTTAAAAAAATATTTTACGCAAAGGGTATGTATATCAAAATATTTAAACATTAACCAAACTAGCCTCCACCGTATACCGTATACTATATATTGGGAAGATCCCCCCTACTAAACAATTAGTGTAATATTACGAATTCAATTGTTTAAAAATATATTCAAATTAAAATAAACTAACATTTAAATCTGGCGGGAAGCAGGGAACTAAGCATTTTTAAGGTTCGTAATGTAATTGACGTAGGATGCCGAGCGCTTGACATAGAATGCCGAGAAAAAAGAAAGGGAGGAAGGAGCCTGCAATCAAGACAAGAAATAAAGAACGGAAATTCTAGAAAAACGGGTGTAACAAACAACAGGTGAAAATTTGGTAAATGAAAAAGAGCCTTTAAATACAGGTGTGTACATTCTAATAAAAAAATTATTGTATTATAAATAATCCCAAACAATTTGGTATAAGTAGTTTACACAAATGCCTTGTGTAGAGATAAATATTCGATCAATTGACTTGGCGTCATCGATATATCTATTTCGCTATGATGGTTGCTGTTTAATAAACGACGCGTCGCGACGCTTATAATCGGAATAATGTAAATTTACGTTTAAACAATCTCACATTACGTTAGATTCTAAATTATAAACATTATGTACTAGATTGTATCTAAATAAAATGTCAGGGTTGTACTTGATTTTATCTAATTAAAAGGTTAGGGTTGTACTTGATTTTATTTCATTAAAATGTCAGTGTTGTACTTGATTTTATCTAATTTAAATGTTAGGGTTGTACCTGATTTTATCTAAATATTTTAATAAATATTTCTTAAAGGGGATTTACCATAAACTTTTTGTTGTTCCCTGTATACTGATGAATTTTCCAATTTTTTTATATGTAGGAAAAAAGTATTTTTTAGTACCTACATAACCACACTTTTAAAATTTTTGGAACACTTAAAATAAAAAAGTTAAAGGGGGCGAAATTATAGGGGATCACTGTACATGTACCTACTGGCATTATAAAACATATCTGATTATTATTATAATATTATATATTATAATTATTATGATATTATATAATTGCTTTGTTTACCCAATGAAGGGCTTTGGGGCTGTAGTGAAGAAAAATACTTAATGCATCAATCGATTTTGATCATTTTTCTTGTACAGAATAAGTTTTTACCTATTAAATGGTAATAGTATATAGATCAGTTTGGTTTAATGAGCTTATTTTAAGATATTTGCTGTTATATTAAAATTTTGTTCCCAACCTTTTTTTGAAATAATAATAAAAGGAATGAAGTTAGAATAAAAATTCTTTATTTATTATAACTTATAATTTATAAGTAAGGCTGTGAATTATATGAAAATGCACACATTGTTTGCGGGTATGCCCGTTTATGTCACCTAAATGTTCATCTTTCATAATTACGTAAACCGACAAATTTTAATGGTGCATATTTTGAGGTTGATTTTACGATTTTTTTTATTTTTTCGTTCATATTTTTGATTATTTTAAGTATGCATACATATTTTGCTTATATTTTAGCATATATGGACTTGATGGTTTGAATCGTGCATATTATGCTGCAAATTTTAATGTTTTTTAATGTATACCTTTCATTAAAAAACTATGTATAAATAAAAATGTTTCTGAAGCATTTGGTGTATTGTGTCAAATTTTAATGGTACCAAGTGCATCATTTTTACATCCCTAATTAAAAGAAATGGTTTAGGACAATGTTCTAAATATGATTTCAAGCATGTGGTCTTCTCGGGTGTTTTTAACGAAGCGCATCCAGAAGGTCCAATTGTTTCGCGATATAATGTTGTTCTTTTTAAGTCCTCAATAAGTCAAGGATTTCTCGAGCAGTATGGCACTGCTACATATTGTTCGGAGTTAGGTCTTTCATTTTATCGAAGAAAAAATCATTGCCCGATAATGTTGAATATTGACTGTAACGTGATTCCCACCCTCATTTTTGAAAAATTTGTACCAATAGTGCTGCTGAAGACCATACCAAAGATTGTGGATTTAATTGAATATTTTATATAAACATATTTTATATAAATTTATATAAAATATGTTTGCAAAGTGTATGTGGTATAAAATGTATCCAAAACCCTGCGAATATCTTGCTCAGTTGGTCTATTATGTGGTCCATAAAAATCACGTAATCCTCTCTATGCGTTTTGCGAATTTAAGACCGATGTTTAAAATAAATTTTAAAATATATGGAAGCATTCTTCTGGAGTAAATCTATTCGTAATAATTTGTCAAAAATTATTGAACCTAAATATTATTAAAAGCGTTTTAAAAAACCTTTTTAAAGGTATTGGAAATATTAAAAATAAAATGTTTATTCATGATAGAGAAACAATCTAAAAGAACAATTGTAAAAATTTGGCGGAAAAAGCAACTAAAAGCTAATAGTAACACAAAAATTAGATTTTGATGTTGCCCCAAAAATTGTTATTCATGAAAACATATTTTGTACACGCGCAATATAAAAGATGGACCAATTTAACTATTTTTATTTTGTTGCTGAACTATTAAGCAGACTTTATTGAAATATATCGCCATAATAGTAAAATATTTTTGAGGCAATTGACCATTTCAATCGCGAGCGATGATCGCCTTATTTACGAATAAATTTATTTAAATCTGCTGAAAACAAAACCATTCAGCTGCGGATTTAAGTTGAGCGAATATTACAAAACTATACCATTTACAAAAGTTTCCTTAGAAATTTAAACTCATAACAGTAAATTCATTTAAACAGAAGTGTTCTTTCCTCGAAATTTTTTGTCGTCTGGAAAAAGTATCGTTTTTCAGGTAAACTGGAAAACTTTGATGCACGTTAAAAAGTTTTAGACAAACAAAAAATTTGACTTGTAAAGTTTTATTTTATTTAGTTAAGATTAAATTTTCATATTGGCCTTTTACAAATTTACATTTCTGTTTATTGTTTTAATGCGAAAGAAATTATCTTTAGGCTGGAATTAACAAGAAAATCCCACTTTTATCAAACTTTTTGAATCTTAAAGCTTAATAAACAAAGCGTTAAATTAATAATTTAAAACCTTTAAAACTCAACAATTAAGCACTTTAAAACTTTTGTTTTAAATATGGACTAATTACTAATGTTCTTTTAAAATTTATAGATTAAAAACACCTATTTTCCATTATTGTAGAGATTTAAGAAATCTTTTTTAATGACAGTTTAAAATGTTAAAACAATCGTCGTAGAAGAGAAATTTAGTACCTAACCTTTAATCACGTATGCGGGGTGGCCTGATCACCCCACCATCGAATTATGCTGGTATTTTCCTAAAAGTATTGGCAACAGCGCTGTGGTGCTCAGTACCTTTCAGCGGCATCTTAGAGCATTTGTTAGTCAATTCGCGATCTCCTACGAGGTTGTTTTTTTACTGTAGTAGTGAAATTATTTGTGTTTCGAATACCCCAGGTACGTAATTATTTTGTGTTTTTTTTAGAATTTAAAATGCTTTAATTTTGTGTATTCTTCATTTCAGAGTTGAATGTCCAATTTATTTAGTATAATATCTAAATCTACAACGATATGTGGTGTTATGAACACCCCACCTACTTACTTATTCCATTTTTATAAGCCTACATGATTAAAGGTTAACTTCAAACAATTAATCCGCGATGAAGAAGTTTTTGCAATATTGGCTTAATGCCCATCGTTTCTAAAAATTGATCAGTTTAAGGAAATAATTTCGAAACATTTTAGAATGGAATTTTTATTGGAATTATACGGCAGAAAATTAATTTTGTATTAATAAAGATAAATCGGAATTTTTCAATTGTTATACATTCTTTTTTAGAATTTAGTATTGTATGGCTTAATCTAAACTAAAATTTAAGAAAAACATTTTCTTGTTAAGAATCCCTTGAGCTTTCCAATATCAATGCCTTTAATGAAGGTTTTAACTTTCAACTCATTCTTGAGCCTGAGTCTTTCCTGTTCCTCTATTGGTACGAATATGATTTCTTAATCACACAGAAAAATGAGCTATGTGGAGGCAAGATTAAATAAAGTTTTTTTTCTTTTGTTAACCACCCTAATATACATATGAATATCTTAAAAACTCCCCAAAATATTTTTCTGAATCCACCAATGCTTGAAAATTTAAATTTGTAAATTTAAGAGTACGCCTTACATGTGCACTGATCACCCAGTTATTTTTACTCCCTTTTACCTTTCCTGCGTATCCCGTAACTGCACATTATTTTATGGCTTTTACGGCTAATAAATCTCCCTTAGGAGGTCGTGGATGACATTGTCGATGGTTAAGACCCGAACCGGAATTTTGTCGTCGGGCCGGGTTATACGCCCGATTTAGTGGAGTCCGAAACAAGGAGGAAAACACCAAAAATAAAGACAAATATGTTATATATAACAAAAAAACAAAACCGCCCCATACTACGGTCATCAACAAACGCGTAAGGCAATAAGCCCATTAATTTAAGAGAAGGTCCCCAAAAAATAAACTTTAAACAAAATGAGACCAAAACAAACACACTTAAAATCCAAACTCAGCGAAGATGACTAATGGGCTTGGGGAACACAATAACTAAAAAATTGTTAGAAATTTTGCACTACTGCGGTAATAAACATAAAAAACTACTTGGACACGGCCACGAACAATAACGACCAACACGTAGAACAAGACGAAGGCCCCTGCAGCAAAATAACAACTCCCGAACTCCATACAGTAATCCCAAATGGTCTAGGTCCTAGACCAGGCAGTTAGTATTAGATTTTTCTGGTTGACTAAAAAATGAATGATTTGTTGAAACAGTTTATTAATCCGGCATGTCAGATGAATTTGGCTTATCTTGTAGATATTTTCACACACTTAAATAAATTGAATATGCAACTGCAAGGTTCCGAAAATAAACAATTAGAAAACGTCGCAAATATATTCATTTTTGAAGATAAACTTCGGGCTTTTATTTGCAAACTTCAGTTGTGGTTACGTTAAATTGAAGAAAATATTTATTCTGCGTTTGCGACACTAAAAGCACTCGTGGAAGACAAAAAGTATGATGATAGTAAAGCAAATATAAAAGAAAACATCAAGACTCATTTACAAATGTTGATTGATGAATTCAATCGTTGCTACCCAGAATATACCGAAGAATCTAAAGTTGATCAAAAACTGATTCGTAACCCTTTTAGCACGGAAGATGGTGAAGTTACTGAAGGAATTCAGGAAGAATTCATTGAATTCCAAAATGACAGAAACTGCAAGGATGCTTTTGAATCAAATTCGCTTGAGTCGTTTTGGTGTAAAAAAGCAATTTGTTATACTAAACTTCGAGAAATCGCTATTTTATCAACAACTTATTTATGTAAACAAGGATTTTCTGCTTTGTTGGTAATTAAAAACAAGGCGAGGAATCGTTTGAAAGTAAGTAATGATTTGCTTGTAGCTTTGAGTAAAAATATTAGTCCTAGGATACCGAACCCGTGAAGAAGATGCAAGCTGAGAAATCACAATAATTCAAAATTACAGAAGTTTATTCTAAAAATATTATTATTTCTTTTTATGTAATTTTCTATTGAGTTTTTAATTAAAGTTTCAGTTTATTTTTATTATACCCACATAGTGGTCCCTACTAACAAGAATAATATAAAAGTGGTCCTTGACCAAGAAAAGGTTGGGAACCCCTGGTCTAGGGGAATACCGGGTCCCACTTAGATTTGAGTCTACGTAATTGTCCCCCAAACCCCAAAATTTCTATCCCTCCCGTCATACCTTCTTCATGACCCTACTGGGAGTCCCGGCATCGGCCCGGCGAACCCGGGAATGGCTATTAAAACTATTGGCATTTCGCTCTCGAGCCCTAAATAGGGTACAGTACATTTCGCAATGGACATTCGCACCTTCAAGTTAGCCTAATTTGCCATGGTTTTTTTCAAATAATTTGAATGTATTTTTTCAAAGAATTGACATGAAATCTTTAAAAAATGTTTCAAGATTCTAAAAATTGCACTTCCCATATAATAACAACAAAGTTATAGGCTATTTTTGGTTGACGTGCATTTGTCAAATTTGTCAAAAATTCGTAACTATTTACTTTAGGTATAGGACATGGTTTAGTCATTTTACTGAGAATTTTATGTAAAAGTATATAGGTTGTTATATTTGAAATAACAAAGTTGATATCACTTCCGGTCAAACCGGAGTGGCATTTTGTTAAAAACATTTTAGAAAAATAGACTTAATTGGATTATAAGAGCTTTAAAACTTTTAAATCGATATCTTTTGCCGTTCCCCAGCAACTTTTAATGGACTACGAACGTGAAACACCCTGTATAAGAGTTTTCTGGGTCAAGAAATTTAAATTTGAGGTTAATATTCTAAAAAAAAAATGGCGGACTTGTTCAAAGACATGCTTTTGCTGCGAAAATTGGTGAAAGGGGTTTATGATTTTGAGGAATTAAAATTTAAAGTCATTTTTTTAATCAAAATTACTAAAAATGGATAGGTTTCTTATTCAATGTTCAATTATAGAATCTAGAAGGTCTTACTTAATTCTTAAAGAGATGCATGGCTAAGAAAAATATTGATTTTTAAAGCTTAGCAAGTATTAGCAAGAAAGTTAATATTTAGTAGTTATTTTAGACAAAAACGGAATTTATTCACGACAAAAATGTCCTGCCAAACTCTGCCAGCTTGTTTTAAGTCTACCTAAATCTTGGAAATAGAATTTTTCAAGACAAATACATATTTAACTTAATTTATACAAAATGGGCATTTAATTACGTCTTTGTGTTTATATTAATTAAAATTATAAGATATTAACAGCACTCTACCTTAACGAAGATAACTCAATTTACAGCAAATTCAGATTTAAAAATACACAAAAATGCCACAGCTTTATACGTTGTGTACGCTGGACGAATTTTTCACTTTAACGCCACCGACCAAACCTACAACTTGTCGAGATTTTTGTCTGGTTAAAGGGAGCGCAATAAAAATCCAAAAGATTCTTGAGCTTTGAAATATTTATTTTTAATGAATGTTTTTATTTACAAAAATTTGACTGCATCAACCACAAAGGGTTATTAGCAATATTAATTTACAAACATATACATCATATTTTGATATATATATATATATATATATATATATACAGGGATGGTAATGTGCTCTTAGGCCGTTTAATAAATAAAGACAAATGCATTATGAGACGTGGGAGTGGTGGAGTGAGGTAAGAGTAGTGGGGCAAGCCAGACCACGCCGCGGCGCGGCTACGATCATCGCCCGACCGCAGACAAGAGAATGTGTTGTAAGTAAGCGGTAGTACGTTTGTTATAAATTAGGAAATATTCTCTAATAAAAATGGTTTACACCCTTGAAGAAAAGATTCAATTTATAACGTGGCATTTAAATGGGATCTCAGATCGAGAAATTCAAAGATTATTTCAAAATATGTTCCCAAATAGACCCTTACCAGCAAGGGCAACAATTTAAAATGTTGTAAATAATTCCAGCATCTCAGGGCAAATAACCTTGATGAATTAAGAGAATTAATAATTAATACATTAAGGAATATCAGACCTGAGATGCTGTCAAATGTACGACAAAATTTTTATAATAGGTTCGCCTATTGTACAGCAGTGTTTGGGGGCCTATTTGAACATTTACTTTGATTTATTTATTTTTTTATTTAAATATTTTAGAATACCATTTTTGTTTAAACATTTACTTTAATTTATTTATTTAAACATTTTAGAATACCATTTTTGTTTAAGAATATTTGTTTTTTTTATTACAAGAATACTATGGTTTATTTTCCACATTTTCGAAAAAAATTCAATAAGTATTCGTTTTTGTAAACAAAATCATAGTTAAATTTTAAAGGAAATTTAAAATTTCTCCGTCCGCACTCCAACGTGGACCGAATAATACTGAAATTATTTCGAGACTCGATTGCGAAATTTGCGTCAAGGTTATCTAGTAGTGGGATTGTAAAGCAGTTAGAGGAGGGGAAGAAAAACATTGGCGGACGTTTAATTGTTTTGATTTAATCGTTTTAAAATCTTGTACTGCACGCTTATGGCAGAGGGGAAACAAGTATTTTGTTATCCTATTCGTTCAACAATGGTTGTTTGTCTCTCTTATTTATACGTTTATCTCACTTATTCGTACGTTTTATATAGCATGCATCTTTGTTTATTAAAAGCCCATTACCATCCCTGTATATGTATATATATATATATATATATATATATATATATATTATATATTAATGGTTTTCAGGAAGTCTAGAGTCTTTTCAATTTGTGGGCCTAAAGTTGTCCTTAAGTTATCTGAGATGTGATGTTGTGTTCTTTCCATATATGGAATATAGTATAGTATGAAATATAGTATACTTTGGGCATTCCATAATTATGTGTTTGGTGTTTTCGCTGGTATTACATTCCTCACAGAGACCAATGGGTTTGTTTTTAAACTTTGCTATTTGAAATGGTAGTGTGCCCAATTCTAAGGCGATTTGTGACGATTTGTTTTTTTTTCACCTGATCGAAGGAATTTTTCTTTGGACTTCTTTTAATTTACTGTTTTGTGTCGACCAAAGCTCTTAATCTAAATTTTATAATAAAAATAAAAGAAGAAGCATTTTTTCTCCTGCATTGGTGTTAAAAACAAAATATTTTTCGCGTACCGCCTAAAACGCGTCTCTACCGCTGCCGCTTCCGCCGTCTTAGGAATCCTTAGTTATGGTTTAAATTAAAATTTGTATTAAAAATAGTAAATTCTTTGAAATTATAAAACAATATCCTAATACACAATAATTTTTTATAGTTCAGAAATATTGATTTATTGGTAAAATACTCTAAATGATATTTTAAATATTAAAATTATTTTAGTTATTTTGAGTTTAAATGTAAAATTTTTGGGTTAAATAGAATAAAATTGATAAGTAATTTTAATATTTTAAATATTTTTAGCAAAAAGTGTAGTAGATTCGGCATCCTTTTTTGGCTAATTTTTAAGTTTATCGCGTTAATTTTGTGTAATATTGTCGTGATGTAATTGTTGTGAACAGTGTTTGTTTTAGAAACTTTATAAACAATTTCAACAAAACATTTTATGCCCATTTAATTTTCTTAATTTTATTTGTATTTATTGAACTATTGTATTATTCGAACGCGTCGATTGTATGTTTTAATCAGGAGTATAACAAATATCTCCAAAGTTATTTATTTTTATGTAAATGCTTATGGTGCGAATTCTATAGCAGGGTTACTCAAAGTTTATTTTTTGATTTCAATACAACCCTTATAAGGGTATACTATAGTAGATGGTAGTAAAAGGTGTCACTGGCAAATGCTCATTTTACATTTTTCCTTACAATTTAAAAGGCATATTATATTTATTTAAGTTTACCTTTAAATAAAGTTTTCTTGACATTTTTTCATTTTGACGAATCCACCTCATACACAGTGTTAAAGTACTCCTCTGTGGGGTAGTTTCAGCAGTTCACACCAAATTTCTTATTTTAACCTGATTTTTTAAAATATTAAGGTTTCGTCTAGGTTATTGTCAAGGAAAAATTCAATGTAATGTAATTATTTGCCTTACATTAAAAATTAAAAACATGAAGAATCTACATATGTAAAATAAAATTCTTTTTTGTAATATTTTTTCATGAAATTAATGTCATATAAAATCTGATTTGCCGGAATAATAGATTTCTATTCGTGAAACAATCGACAGAGATTTGATGGATGCGGAGCGTTTCGGACATCGTTTTAACGAACTTTATAAAAGGCCATTCGATCACAATAATGTGACATATTTAATGCATTTCAACTGACATTAACAACGGTTTTCAAATTTGTAGGCGCTAATAACCGTAGCGAATCTAAAAATATATATCGACATTCAAATTTTAATTATGAGCACATTGTTTTTGAAGCGGACGCAAAGCAATTATTTTGAACTTGATTAAATATTTAATTATTAATTAATTTTGGAACGCGTTGACCGATTTTAATACATATATTTTTTGGACATAGTACTCGATGAGCTGTATTTGAAATTTTAATTTTTTCAAGGCCTGCTGACCTTACTAAATGGACCAAAATTTAGAGAACGACCACAACCCTAGTAGAAATTTAAATGGGAAACTAGTAGGGCGCTGGCTAGTTTTCCCCAAATGAAACGAGGGCCTCGCTAGGAATCCCTACTAGTTTCTGACTAGTCATGTAATGCTTTTCCTGGTGGGGAACTACTGGGGAAAAGCTGGTAGGGAAAACTAGCTTAAAACTGGTTGGGAATATTTGTGAATTTTGTAACCAATAAGAAATGCAAGTAGCAAAAATTGTTTTATTAGATTTAAATATATTTACATTTTCACTTTTTTTCACCTGTTTCAGACCAATTACTTTACGCATGTCGTCACTTAAGGGTGGAATTGTATCTAATGCTAGTGGATCCTGGGGGGGGTGTTTGAAGGG